TATTCCATCTGAGTCTACAATGCCATCCACATGTTCCTCATGCATGATCTCAGCACGAGCAGCCTGCAACGTCGACTGCCACTGAGGAGACTCGTCAGCCGTGGTAACAGAACAGGAGGAGGAGGAGGAGGAGGAGGAGGAGGAGGAGGAGGAGGAGGAGGAGGAGGAGGCCTCACGTGAGGATACATCTCCTGTAGCTGGAGGTAGACGACAGAGATCCTCGACACTGGGAAGAGGTGAGAACGAGGACTTCAGCTCTCTCCCACCAGCGCCGCTCACTCTCATGCAAGACTGTTACGATGGCTGGCGACTTGCTCAGTTCCCGGATCTTGGCGTTGATCCTCCTGTCCTCCCCAAAGCTCCTTGAGCCCGTTCGCGACAGAGTCGAGTGGGTCCGAGACAGAGTCTCGAGCTGCTCCTGACGTCAGCTTTCCCCAAGCTGCAGTTCAAGACTGACTTTGCGGGGAGTCCGGTAGAGCATGACGATGGCGACTACGTGCGCTCCGTCCGAGGACATGATTGGAACCTGTCTCAACAACGTGAGCACGGAGGAGAGGAAGAAGGTAGGGAAGCAAGGGGAGGGATGAAGGGGAGGCGGGAGGAGGCGGAAGAAGGAAGGGAACGAGGAAGGGAGGGAGGGCAGAAGGAGAGTCTCTCACCCCAACGGAGACGTCAAAGAGTTTCTTAGCAAGCTGGACACGAGGGTCTCCAGCTGGGGTAGTCGTCAACGACAGCTGGGAGCGAGAGAAGGAGAAGCACCGAGCTCATCGTCATCCGGGAGGAACTCGAGCTCGTGCCAGTCCACGTCGCTTCTGCTCCAGGCCAGCCCGGGGAACCTTCCCCCTTGGTGTAATTGACTTTGTCTGCGAGCTTGAGGAATCTCTCTAGGGCCTCCGTCTTTGACTCGTCCTGCTCGTTCGCCTGCGGCAGCGGTCAGAAGCAGGGTAACGCCCGTAGCACCTACATGGAGAGTCGAGTCGTCGAGAAAGCTGTCACCAGTGTATCGCAGCTTCGAAGCGTACTTCTCATGCCCTCCCTTGTCAGCTTCGCCCTTCCCCTTTTTGCCTGAGAATGCGGACCACAGCGACCTGTACACAGCATCACCTCCTCCTTCCCTTGCTGGTTCCTCCCACCCAGCATCTCCATCGTCGTTTCTCAGGCCGTAGGAACCAAACCTGCTCCTCTTCCCGTCCGAATCGATACCGTACGATCCAAACCTGCTCCTTTTCGAGTCGTCCGAGATGTGTCGCGCTATCTTGATGTCAATGTCTGCATCAACGAGTGACTTGCAAGCATTTGCGGCTCCATCAGCATCGACAAACCGGCCTGGCTCAGGTTAGAAGCAGCATCCTTAGAGTCTGCAGCGCAACTGAGCTTCTCCTCTCACCCCCCCCATATGGCATGCTCACCAGCGTCCAGCTTGGAGTCCGTCTCAGGCTGTATCACATCCTCATCATCCTCGTTCACGTTGCTCGACAGCTTCGCTCGATCGGGGATAGCTCGGTTCAATGGCATCAACCGCGGCGATCGCTGTGGGGAGACTGACATGGGGGTTCGACTTCCTAGGGAGATTCCGGCCAACGAAGGCTCCGCCTGCTTCACCTTCCTTGCCCACAACTGCCACGGCAGGTATCAGCAGCAGCAGTGTATCCACACCCTCCTCCTCCTTCGTCTTTTAGCTTCCATCCTCTCTCCACTCCTCCCACATTATTCCCCTTCCCAGCTTTCTTGCCACTAACTGCTCCTTCCTCTTTGGATGCTTCTTCGCCCTTCGCTATCCTCCTATGGACGCTCCTGCCCTGTTCTGTCCTCCCCTTCCTTCAAGCCAGCCCCTTCCCCCCACCCCCGGTGCAAACTACACCGCGTGCACGGGACTTTCTCAGCAAGGAGCAGCAGCCGAGCCCCCGCCCCCCCCCCCCCCTCCGCCTCCTCTCTCAGCAGTCAGACACACCTCAGCATAGTCGAAACCGATAGCACGGCACGTGTCCGCGAGCATGCCGGACATCGGAGACAGCGACATCTTGGCCAGGATCAATGGGGGTTACAGAAGCTCATGGTTCCTCGCTTGCCAAGGATGAGTCGGTCCTGCTCGAACAGGTTACAGCATGAAATGTTATCACCAGTTAGCTGCATGCCATGTTGCATTTCCTGCTCTTTCGCCACTCCTGCTCTTTCGCCACTGGGCATCGGGTGCAAGCGGAACTAGGAGAAATCCTCGTTTCTCGCCATAAACATCTAATTGTCACAATCTCTTGTCCTTGCAAGCTACATCTCGCCCTTACTAGCATAGTACTGCTGGCATCGATCATATCAGCATCGGTACCATGAGCAGCTTCTCTGATCTTCTCCGCCGACCATCGTCATCCTCGCTACTACGATGACAGTCGTACAGGTTCATTGCATTCCAGCCACGTTGGTTTCTCAAGATTCTTCTTTGCAGCCTGAGCATGGCTTATCTCATCACTGCTGTAGCAGTTAATATCAACATCTCTCTATCTTTGACACATTCACGCTCTTCGTTCGTATCGCCCGTCATCGACCTCTCCCCACTTACCTACCTGCTGCTGTTCACCATTTGAAACCTCGAGTCTTTTCTCATCTCCTGATCTCCCGATCTCTTCAACTCCCCGTCCTCTTCTATCCCATGTCACCCTTCACTTCATCATATATCCTCCTCCTTCTGCCCAGCTTCCGCCATTTTTCCTCCCAAACGCCCCTCCCCTGCCTCCCCTGCTGCCCAGCATTTTCGTAAGTCTCCATTAACACCCCTACCCCCTGAATTGATGATTTGTGTAGTACCACCCACCCCTTTCGACCGTCAAGAGCTCTATCTTATGGAAACCACCCCACCCTTCATGACTTCAGGTGTCAGATACAACTGCCTCTACCCCACCCTTTCAGGCGGATTTTCAAGACCCCACCCATCCAGTCAGATTCAATTTGTACCGTACCCATACTGCTGGTTCAAACTGATTGACACCCCTACCCCCCCTTTCCATAACGAATATCCTCCTTTTTCCCCTTTACAAGTTCAAGCACCCCACCCCCCTTTAGTTCAATGTCTTTACTACCCGACTCACCTCCCTCTGTTCCCTGATCCTACAACCCCACCCCCACATTGACTTTTCTACCCCTACCCCTGTACCCCCATTTCCTTCGTAACATCATCGGACCCCTTGTAAGGCCTCCATCACTACCCCTACCCCCTCGATTCAAGCTTTCCACCCCCTCTAAAGAAGTGGGGAGTGTTTTTTTTCCTCCCAACTTCTGAGCCAGGACACCCCCTGCAATAATGGACCCCTGCTATTCATACCCCCACCTGTACCTAAAATACTGAAAGGACCCCCACCCCATATTTTCCACGTCGTAGACCCCCTTCTACCAGGTCGTTTTCAAAATATTGAACCACCAGTCGGTGTAACTACGGTAACCCACACACCCACCACCCTGCAGCTTTCACTTGGACCCCCTTTAAAAGTACCCCACCCTTCTCATTTGAAATCCAGGGGTACCTTGCATCATTTGATGAGCCCTACCCCCACCCTACCCCCTGTTTGAGTGATTTTTGGTATGGCAACGACACGATTGGCCTTTTCAGTTGACTACCCCACCCCCTCGTGTGATCCTTGGCAGGACCCTACCATGGGAATTCCAGGTTACGTCCACTGGGCCCGTTTTGAACATGATCTGATGACTAGACCAGGAAGCGAAGAGGGGAGGAGGAGGAGGAGGAGGAGGAGGAGGAGGAGGAGGAGGAGGATAGTGATGTAGGAAGGAGGATGAAAGGTGGACGAGGAGGGGAGGGATGAAAAACCTGGAAGAGAGTAGAAAGCGAAATGGTTGCGGTAGGGATTTGAGATGCTTGTATGAATCCATGGGATCGCGGCAATTAAGTCCAGCATGGGACAGAAATGTATAGGGTGTGGTGACGGGGATCTCTCAATTGGAATTCATAGGAGAGTCGCTAAGTCCCTTCAACTGGACTTAGGAAACAAGGAGAGTCCCTAGAAATGCTTAGAGCTTCTGCAGAGTTTGGAAGGAGAAGGGAGAAATGTTCAGACAAAGAAGATTGAAAGAATGCCAATAGATATGAATGTACAACAGTTACACTCTCGTACTCCCCCCATGTCGACTCGTTATCAACTGGGCAGTACGTGCATTGCGCCAGAAGGCATCAAGAAGCAAAAGATTGGGGGCAAACCCATCACTTCTTGAGGAAAAGAGGCGGCATAAAAGGCTCCCGCCAAGAAATCATTTTGTATAGCAAGTTGAAACATCTTCCATGACAACATAGAATCGCAACTCCTGCGTTTCCGCCCCTCCCCATCACCAATTCATCTCAATCTGAACCTCCCCGGGACGTTGACCTCTGTCAAGATTCTCCCACTTCTCTCTCTCTCTCTCTCTCTCTCTCTCTCTCTCTCTCTCTCTCTCTCTCTCTCTCTCTCTCTCTCTCTCTCTCACACACACACACACACACAACTCTCTCTCTCTCTCTCTCTCTCTCTCCTTCCTTTCGTCCCTCCTCCTCCCCCCCTCCCTTCCCCTTCCTCCCCTCCTCGCTCACTGGATTTCATGACCTATTGGACCACTTCCCTCCTCATGACCTTTGTGTTGACTGATAATTACAATACAAATCCGCAGTTTGACTAAACTATTTTATATTACTTCATAAGACCCCTCATCTCACACTACCCCCTAAATATACACCCAGCCCCTCGAATCGGTGCTCAGAAAACGTTACGCTATTGAGTACCGGTTATCGGAACCAATAATCTGTATGATGTGTACCGGTATCTGGTTCAGTCGTTCCCATGTACCGGTACTAGAATTGGATTACACCCCTACATTTGAGTCTTGGTTGGACCTTCTGATATAAGCAAGGAAGAGGGGTGGTACACCTACAACACTTAAGACATGGCGAAGGCTGCGGCAATGGCGATGATCGCGGTAACGGATCCTCCTCCTCCTCCACCTCCTCCTCCATCGCCGCTCTCTCCCTCGTCCGCATCTCTTCCATTCTCTCACTCCCACTGCCGTAACTCTTCTCCTTGCTCCTTGTCTCCATACCCGCATGAATCCTCCAACATCCGTGCCTGGCGCATGCCCGCGTTCAGGATCTTGTCATTGTCCATCGCCCTTTCTCCTCCCCACTCTCTTCATCAACTCCATATCACTTCCTCCATCGTTTGCTCATCCTCTGCACTTTCCTGCCCCCTTCCTCCCAACCACCCTGCTCCTCCTGGGATCCCTGCTCATCACCGCCCTTAATACCCTCCTTCCTGTTCTCCTCGCCCCTCCCTTCTCCATTTCATTCCAACCCTGCTCCCTCCCTCCTCTTTCCTCTCATTGCTAACTCTGTTCTGACTCGGACCTGCAGGCTAGTCCCGCACTTGCGTTCCTCCCACCAACCCCCTCTGGCAACTTCCTCCGCCCCTCCTCTGCCGCCTCCTCCCACGTTACCATGTCGGCGTCCCAGGGCCTGACCCGCAGGGAGATCGTGCGGTCTGCCTCCGTCTTCGCCGCCTCCTCGGTTGTTCTGCGAGGGATGGAGGCGTTCGCAGAGGAGGAGCAGTGGATCCAAGTTGACGACCCCAACGGCAAGAGGTGTGTCGCCTTTCCTACTCTCAACCCCTCTCGTCGTCTCCTCTCCTACCCCTCCACCCTCCTCTTTGTTTCCTCTTGTCTCATATCTCCTCTCCTCTCCTCTCCTCTCCTCTCCTCTCCTCTCCTCTCCTCTCCTCTCCTCTCCTCTCCTCTCCCCTCTCACGCCTTCCTCCTCCTTTATCGGCTCTGCTTCCTGCCTCCCTATTCGTCCTTTTCCTTGTCCATCACCGTGTTCCTCCCGGTCATTTGCTCTTATTTCGAGAACTCTCATTTCCTTGCCCTTCCCTTTCTATCTCCATGTTCCTCCTTCTTCACCACCACCACCACCTCCTCCTCCTCCTCCTCCTCTTTCTCCTCCTTTCTTTCTTGCTTGTAAATTCTCTACAGCTACTGGTACAACCCAAAGACACAGAAGACCAGCGCAACCGATCCCAACAAGTCCGAAGCTTCTGCTTCAACCTCCGCTAAGGTTCTCTCCTCTCCTCCTCCCCTACTCTCACCCCAATCTTCCACCCCTCGCTTCTCCCCTTCGTTCTCCCTTTACGTCTCGATCTTCTTTCCTCTCTTACTTCCCCTCCTTCTGCCTCCTTTTCCCTCTGTCTTTCTATTTTTCCCTTCGCCACATTCTACGTTCAACTTTGTCGGCTCTCTTGACGCGTCCACAGGAAGGAAGCTCGGCTGCCAGCGGTGCCTTCGCTGACGTCAAGGTAGCAAGAGGAAGATGACGAGAAAGAGATGGGGCGAAGTGGCAGGGGGTGAGGGAGGAGAAGGAGAGGAGCAGAAGGAGGACGAGGACGAGGAGGAGGAGGAGCTCAATCCTCTGCAGGTCACCAAGATGGGAGGTCTTCTTTCTCCCTTCAAGGATGTGAACAAGGGGTGAGACTTCTCTTGGTCCCTCTTATCTTATCCTTTCCTGCCCGCCTCCTTTCTCCTCTTGCTCACCTGAGCTCCCTCGTCTACCGTTCTAATGCCTCCGCTCGTTGCCTCCCGCTTCCTTTCTCTCCACCTCCTCTCCTCTCCTCTCCTCTCCTCTCCTCTCCTCTCCTCTTTTCTCCTCTGATTTTCCTTTCATTTTCCTTTCATTTTTCTTACTTCTTCTCACTCTCTCCTCTCCTAGCTTTCAAATCTTCCGCCCATCTGGATGGAATCAGTTCGACTCGGCTCCAGGAGAGTACGACGTTAAGTGGGAGGTGAGTGCTACTGGTCTTGTCAAAACTCCCTCAGTATAGTCCCTTTCAAAACTCTACTAGTGCTGAACCCTTCAAAACTCCCTCAGTACTGACCCTGTCAATCGCAGGATCTGGTCGAGAAGAGCGAGCTGGTCATGGTCGGCAGCTCGCCTGTCAAGTCTGCCACCGACGTCAACGTGCTGGGACCCGTTGACAAGGTAGAGAGCTGCTGGGGATTGAGCTGGGGGGGGGGGGGGGGGGATGTAGATAGTGACAGGGAGCTGGCAGGTCGGAGCCTCTCTGGCCTCGAAGAAGAAGGCAGAGCTGGTAGAGGCCAAGGTGAGGACTGCTGGAGGCGTCCAGCTGGAGTTGAGCTGTGCCGTGCAGGAGACAGAGAGGTCCGGGATCAGGTTCTATACCTTCGTCTTCAAGGCGGTGAGAGGAGACGGCGACGAGGAAGGAAGGGGGAGGGAGCTGAAGGAGCAGCAGGGAGACGACAAGACAGGAGCGAGAGAAGTTTACCAGCTCTGCGTGAACAAGGTGAGAAAAGGGATCATTGCTTTCGCATCTTCGTATCTCTTCCTTGATCCTTTCCTACGCTCCTTCTTGTTTATTGTTCCCTGCTGCTGCTGCTGCTCCTCCTCCTCCTCCTCCTCCTCCTCCTCCTACTCCTCCTCCTCCTCCTCCTCCTCCTCCTCCTCCTCCTCCTCCTCCTGCTCCACCTCTGCTCCTACCACCTCTGCTCCTCCTCCTCGTCCTACATTTCTCCCTAATTTTCGAGCAGGGAAAGCTGTGGAGCGTTACTGCAACCACCGCTGAGAAGCGCTGGAACAAGCGCAAGGTAGTATCAGCTTCTCTTGAGCTGGCCGAGCTGAGAAATATGTGCAGGACTTGTACAGTACCATCTTCTCCTCCTTCGTGCCGAAGCTCTAGAGGAGCAGGAGAGAGTTTGTAGTCCCTCAATGAAGCAGAAGCAACATGAGCTGCTTGTCGTATTGGGTTGAAGAAGTCGGGAGGCAAGGGGCGGAGACCAGATAGTGGCAGGGGCGTACAGGGAGAGAGAGAGTTGGGGGAAGAAAGTGAGAACGGGAGGGAGGGAGGTGGGGAAGACGAAGATATGGTAGAGGGGAGGTCGAGGAGGAGGAGGAGGAGAAAAAGAGAAGTGAAGAGAAGAGGGAAGAGAAGCACGGCATTTCACCACTACACATCTTCATGCTCACAAAAATTTAAAACTACATGATACCCCTTTCATTGTTGATTGAAAGGACTCTGCATATTCTCGTACTCTGCAATGAAGGGTCTGAGATAAAGTCAGCAACGTGACAGCATCAAGACTGAGGAGGCTGAGCAAGGGGAACAGGCAGGCAGGAAAATAGAGTAAATGCGGGAAGGGAAGCGGGAAATGAGGAGCGAGAGAGACAGAGACAGAGAGACGAACAGGGCGTAAGAAGGAGAGAGCGAGGAGCAACAGGGAGGAGGGTCTCACATGAACAAGCTCTCGAGCATAGAAGCAAGCCTCAAGAGCTGAGCTCTTCCTTCCATATTGCTGACCATGTAGCCGATGCTCTCCTCCTTGAGCAGCCTCTGGCTCACCATCTCCTTGCCCGGCTTCTTCCCCACCGCCTGGATCGCAAGCAGCTCGCAGGCCTCCGGATTGTGGAGCAGAACCTGATCGTACTCGTCCTCGCTCACAACTTCCATCGTCCTCACAGCCCCGATGAAGTTCCCGTCCTTGTCCCACATCGGGTTGAACCCCTGCCGGATCAGAACTCCTTCCTGTTCCCCTCCCCGCGCGAACCGCTTGTTCCACCTCGAGTACAGGTACCGCACGGGGATGCCCTGGAACCCGACCTTGGCCCATGACATGAGCATCATCATCCCGCTGATGTGCGTGCAAATCTGGCGGAACTCGGAGGAAGCAAGGTTCATATCATAGTAAGCCATCCTAGCCACCATCTCCTCCCGATGCACCCCGGCCAGATCTGCGAGCCAGTTGTTCACCGCGTAGGTGGAGCACCTCCCGTTTGCGTCCACCGACACTGCCTGCACCCCCAGTGTGTTGTTGTTGCTCCAGGCGTCCAGGTCGAGATCGCTATTGAGGAAGGTAGAGCAGGAGAGAAACGAACGGTTCACCTTCATCAGACCCTCCAGCGCTGTCAGCCCTCGTGATAGGATGGACTGGAGCTGGTATGGCATGCAGTTGTACATCCTGCACATCTGCCTACTGCTCACTCCTTGATTGTGCCAGATGGTCTGCAACAAGCTCGGGATCTCGTCCGCAGTCTCCACGGTATAGCTAGGGACTATCACTTGGTTGGGGTAGCTCAGAGGCCGGTCGATGTTGTAGGAGAAGTTGATGTTGAAGTCAACGTCGTCTCTGTGCGACGGGGAGGGGCTAAGGAAGGTGTCGGGGGAAAGAGAGAGGAAAGTCTCAGGTGAGGATACGAGGGCAACATCAGAGGAAGAGCAGGACAGCAGAGCAGCGTCAGAGCAGGAGGATAGGAGGGCGGCGTCGGAGGGAGAGGACAGGAGGGTGGAAGAGGAGGAGGAGGAGGAGATGAGTGTGCTCGTAGAAGAAGAGAGAAAAATATCAGAGGAAGATGAAAGGAGGGTGTCAGAGGAGGATGAAAGGAGAGTGTCAGAGGAGGATGAAAGGAGGGTGTCAGAGGAGGAGGGGAGGTGTGACGAGAACAAGGGTGAAGGAGCCTCCAAGTCATGGTTCACGAAGACTAGATCGAGCGCCAGCTCGTCCTCCGTCCCTGGGCTTGAGGACTCTACGATCCTCTCTAAAGGCACATCGTCTTGCTGCTTCGTCTTCATCTTCTTCGCCTCCTGATCCACACAACCCTCCGGGAAGCCCTTGTACAAACACCTCCTGCACGGCCTCTCGCCGTCGCATCGCACCTTGCTGTTCTTACATGCTACGCATGCCAGGTCCCTTCCGACCTTCTTTATCTTTGTTTTTGTAGGCTTGTCATTCTGGAGCCTCTGCGCAACATCATCGTTAGCTGGGAGTCATCGCAAGGTTTCCATGGGGTGCGCCAATGCCATTGAAGAGCTGGGAGATGGGAGGAGATGGAGAGAGGCAGGAACGCGAATCTCACCTGATTGAGATGATTTTCAGCAGCTGGTGCGGTCCAAACATCCATGTCTGAGCTTGTTCACAACGCTCAAGTCTTCAAGTCTCGCGGGCCAAAGTTGGGCCAAAGTTTCTCGTTTATGCCGCTGCGCAACTTTTGACTGGCCCTATGGCTTTCTTGTCCTATCCATGGATGGCACCAGATAGCTTGAGATAATCTTGCTCTGACAAACAATGAAGCCGAAGCTCAACCTATCCCCACCACCTGCGACTTTTCCTTCCCTGTCTCGTTTCAACCAAACTCCAACCTGCAATGTTCCTTCTTCTGTCTCCACCTTCCTCTTCACGATGTACCAGTCCAGGTTTACTTGATGCTTGAAGCAAGCTATTCTCCTGCTTTCACAAGATCGTTCTCATTCGTCTCTTCTCACCTCCTCCTCCTCCCTCTCGCCATCGCTTCGCATTCGATCGTTCTATCCGGCATTGAACAGAAACCCTACCCCTGTTGCTTACCTAAAGTACCCCCACCCTTTAATCAGCCACTGTACCACCACCTTCAGGAGCGTCAAACATAGCACCCTCTAGGGGAGATAAATTGTCTAAATACCACCCCCATTTTCCCCAAAAAAGTGGATTAATAACCGGTAGTAATGTACCCCTACCCCTTGTTTACCACCCACCGCAGGAACATGAGGTTACCTATCGTGTCATGTACGAAGAGAACACCTCGAGTCTTGTCCCCCTACCCCCACCCCCCATTTCTAGCAGATCGTACCCCACCTTAAGTAACCTCGGCATCGGCGCTTCGACTTTGATGTACCCCACCCCACAATCTCACATTCAAAAGTGTACCCCACCTACTCTGTCAGAGGACAAATGATGGAATTTGAGGGGTACTTTCCACCACCACCACACCTTTGGTATCCATATGCCCCAGCTATATTCTTTATAGGAGCTCCGGTTTAGCAAGTACCCCTACCATCTCAAGTACCCCTGTGGTCCTTCCACCAGTGTTCTACACCAACCACCGGTATATTCCTCTACAATATCCTTATATTTGGACCCCCTCTAACAGCCTTTAATCACACTGTCTCCTGAACAACCCCATCTATGGATTGTCCTCAAGTACCCCCACCCCTGCCGTTAGCGGGTATTTTACTACAGACTGCTTGTATTTCTCAAGGCTTTACTACCCCCAGGGCATTGTAGTCGGGACTACCCGATCTAAGTTTTACTCAAAGTTAAGTTAAAACTTGATGACTCTCATAGTAAAGACATTTTAATAGCATCCTCGTACTGATTGTTTTACTTAACTTTGACCATCCGTAAAAAGTCGAGCCGCACGGTGACACCGTCCGAATCTGAGGATCAGTGTACTACGTGACCCGGTGACCCGTATCACCGCCGGGCCCGGCGGCGGCACGGTGACTCGCCGGCCTCCGGGGAGTCCGAGTCCGGGAGTCCTGGCCCTCCGACGGCCGCAGCGAACTACGGTCCGAGTCGGACTCAGCCGGGCTCCACTGAGGCCGGAGCCGCCGGCGCCCGGCCGGCACTGCGGCGGCGCAGTGGGCCTCACTGAGTCACCGGGATGGGCGATGCCACGGTACTGTAGCCTCCGCGGCCCAGTGTAGTACGGTACGGGG